CGTGCTGGGCACACTAGGCGCTAGACTGTCGGGCGCTGCGCGCGCTAGGTGCGCGGTAGCGGCCCCGGTCGGCTCCTCGCCGGTCGTTCGGCTACTTTTCCAGTAACATCCAATTTATATCAACATAATATGATAAAATAGACATAAAAATGCAAATAAGCACTAGGAGACCTCGGGTCGACATGCGTATAGTCCGGTAGGGCCGATAAGGCACGTATGGGCACTAGGTCACCGAACCAACTTCTCCAAATACCATATATGACTAAGGCCGAGTTCTTAACATAATAAATCATGACTAATGATGCTTAAATGATAGCATAAACTTGCATGTATACTAATATGGCTCGGGGGTGAAAAATGCTCTAAAATCATGAACAAGTTGACTGAACAAACGAACTCCAAAAATTCTCAAACTTATACATCTTCATTCTCCTGATTTATGAGGGACATTTAGCTAATAAAATCGGCCTAAGCATGCAATATACTAAAAATTCGATTTTAAGCCTTTAATTCCTTAAAATTCGAAACTCATAGCTAATGACATGCATGGCTTGTTTTCTTCTTTATGATAAATCTTATTATCATAAAACAGCTAAGGAAAAAGGATTGCTCGAGCTAATCTTCACCGAAAGACGAAAAATGGTGTTCGTGACCTTTGCTCGAGCTTGCTCGCGACTTAGAGGCTAGGGCTCAACTTGAATGGCTAATGGCCGAGGATGAGGGATGCTGGAGGCTTAGAAAAATTCTAGGAACACAATGGACCAGCTTGACCTCGGGAGAAAATGGCTAGAACAAGAAGAAGCTCGGTGCTCCTCCCTTTCTCCCCTTGCGCGCGCGTGTGTGGCTCTATGGAGTTGGTAGGAACTTTGGGGGAATTTTGCTGAGCATAAGGAGTGGAAATGAAGTCCTCTTCTGGTATTCTAAGTGTTGGAACCAATTTTGGTTGATAAGAACTAATTTAAGTAGTCTTGGTCCAATCTATAGTGGGGGACATGCCTTGGGGACATAAAACAAGACATGTCCCCTTGTCCCCCTTGCTTGGGTCTTGTGTGGACCTCTTCGAAGACCAAATGGTCTTGTTGACCAGACCTAGGGTGGTCAAGGCTCGGGTCAAACGGTCAATGGGCTGAAAAATTGGGCCAAAGTGCCATTTGGACCTCGGTTGGGCTGCTGAGCACTGGGCCTGGCCCTGGACGCGGCCCTGGGCTGCTGGGCANTTCCCGAGATATCTTGATTATTCTCGGACCTGAAACTCATCTAGACTATGGGAAATTATTCCCGGCTCAAAAAGGAATAAACGGGCTAAAACTCACAGCCATTTTTATCCAACAAAATGAACTGATACTTGGACTAGAAAAATTATCCGACTTTGAGATAAAACCTTGTTCGAATAATTCTCGACTTACTCAAAATGGAACTAAAAGAAATAAATGAAGAGCTTACTAATGGAAGCTATAATCGAGCATGTTGACATCCGAGTTCACCCCGAAAGGAAACCGGACAAGAGGTAACTCCCAAAAGCCGAACCGGCTCCCAAAGCTGAACCGGAGACCCGGTCGAGTGCAAGTGTCGATCTGAATTCCGAATTCAATTGACCCTGACATCCCCGCGGGCCCATCCACGAGCCCGGTGTTTGTGCCGTTCAAACACCGGTGCCGACCTAAAGTAGGTGATGGGCTGAAGTAAGGTTCCAGAGGGCCAGAAGAGTGGAATGAGCTCAGAAGCCGACCTAAAGACTCAGGGCGGTTGCCCCAGAAGCCGGCGCGGGGCCCACTAATAGTGTAATAATGCCACTTGGAGAATAAGCATTGATGATTGGACAGGGTGTCACAGCCTGCAGGTCTACGTCCACTAGACAAGACATAAAGCTGGGCAACATTAAATGACCCCCATGTGTGCATTAAATTCCTGACAGGCAATGATGAGGAAAACCTCAAATCGCATTTAATATCTGTCAGGAAGACGCCGAACTGCTCTGCCAGAGTACTGTACGACAAGACCGATGAACAATATTTGAACAGTGCCACATTTAAAGCCACTATAAATAGCAACTCACCTCATTTATTTCTCGGTTGTTGAATCTCCAACTTTCAGACTCTATCTCTAAATCTGTAACCAATTTCTGTAAGGATTTGTAAGGATATCGCAAGTGCCGACCTCGTACGAGAGGCCGACCTAGTGATCTGATAATAAAATCGCAATTAAATCGCATCTCTTTGTCCTTTCCTTACTACATTTCAATTATTTACTTTTTTAACCGTTGACTAGAAATGCCCGTCAACAATTTGGCGCTAGAAGGAGGCCATCATAAGTTACTTGGTGTCAATTGTTCGAAATTTTGGAACACCACACTGCATTCATCTTTTTTCCCACTTTTCGCTTCCAAAAACCACTCGAAATGGCTTCATCAGGTCACAACGAATCCACCCAGCAGTCCGGCGCCCAGTCTCGCCGGTGCAACGGCGGAGAAACCTCCCGCCGCGCTCAGCAGCGGCCTCTAGTCCCTGTACCGACCTTCGCTGCGGCCATGCAGCACCCCGACGTCCTTAAAGCTCTCGAAGGGGTCTTCACGAAGGCGCTCGCGAGCCAGGTGGCCGGGGAAACACCGCAGTGCCCACGGAAAACTCCGGCAACACTCTGCTCCATACCCCCGAAAAGGGATCCGGGGGGCAAAAGAAGAACCCGGTGAAATCCAAAACCACGGCTCAGTCACCCAACCTCGAGGCCCGAAACCGCCGTGACAAAATCACCAGGCTGGCGCTCACCGAGCAGACGGGCGAGAGCCATCCGGAGTAGAGCCTTCAAATCATTCGCCGTTTCGTGTACCACCGCCTGGGCGACAAGAGCCAGGCGAACCGTGACCTCAGGGAGGTCATCGAACGAGGAAAGGTTGTGGGACGCGACACTGACGACGTTGCGGCCCTCAAGCGCAGGATTGCTGAGCTAGAGGGTCGGCAACCCTCTTGAAGTGAGTTGTCACTTTCTCCCTACCCACAATCGACCCCCCGGATCGTGGATCACGCTTCTCCCCTCTCCCCTGACATTCCACGGGAACCTGCGCCAAAGAAAATCAAGCTCCCGCAGCTCAGCCCTTACGACGGGAGCTCGGATCCAAACTCCCACCTCGGCCTCTACACCTCGTGGATGGACCTGTAAGGCGCTACGGATGTCCTGTGCTGCCGCATGTTCTCCCTGGCATTAGGACCGAAGGCGCAGAGGTGGTATCATTCCCTCTACCCTCATTCCATTTCCACCTGGGGGCAGCTCAGGTCGGCTTTCCGATCGCACTTCATCGGATCACAGATCAACCTCGCCCCCAAGGAGTCCATTGCCAACATCGTCCAAGGTGAGGACGAGAGCTTGAAGGATTACATCACTCGGTTTAAGGACCGAGCCCAGAACATGGAGCGGTGCCACCCTGATGCATTACTGATCACCGCCCAGGGTAGCCTGAGGCCGAAGACGCTATTCAAATG